CTCCCTCTCTCTCAAATACACACACACACACACACACACACACACACACACGCACAGACAAAACCACACTGACAGACACACACTGTCTGCTCAGTGCTGCATTCCTCTGTAGCGGTCAGACAGTAATTACCAGCTTAACTGTTTGTTCACACACACACATACACACACACACACATATTAAATATTCTTATGTTAAAATGTTTTTTATCATTTTTCTTCACATTAATGACTCCAGTGTCGGTCGTCGTTAAACAATCTGACAATAAAAACCATTAAAAGCAGAAACCAGCAGTTTGATGGACTTCCTGCTGGTTATTTAATGAAATCTCAGTCACATGTTCCAGTTTCTTTCTGACTTTAGTCAGAATTTATTTTAATTAATTCCCCAAATTACGGACCGTGGAACCGAGCCGGAGCCGACCTACTTCTGAACATCAAACATGTAAAATAGTTGAGTGAGTAAACTGACAGCGAACATAGAACAGCTGATAAACAATGAATCCAAACAGTGAATAACTGCAGGAAGGTTGATTATTTCCTGTGAATATTTTAGAGATTTTGTGATATTTTTAGGAACTTTTTACACAATCTTTTGTCTGTATTATATATTTTTAACTTTTAACAATCATACAGACCTAATAAGTTTTGTTTTTACCAATTCAGTTTTATTCTCCCTGATGCTTGATGCCATTGTTCTAATACAGTTTGTGTTCAGCTCATCAAACTTTAGATATTAAATAATAAACTGTAGAATGATGTACTACACTGAACATTATAAGTTAAAAAACATTCTTGATTCAGTAATTTTACTTTTTTTTTTAAACTAAACTATACAGGTCATTGTCACTTACAATTACTGAAGTTACTTGATCAAGAATGATTTTAACTTACAAAATTTACTTTTATTTAAAATGTTTGACGTAATCAAAAAAATAAAATTAAAATCAAGAAGGCCTCACGACCCCCCGCCCCCATGAACTTTAGATTAGACAGTCAGCGTTAGCCACATATTTCACTCTGTGACTGCAGCCGATCATAAAGCTGTATATGAAAATGTACTGGCTGATTGTGTCATGTGATCAAACATCAGTTGTGTTTAACTCGTCTTTCTGCCTCAGGGCTGCCTGTCTCGCTACCTGTCGCTCCACACAGTGGACTGGTCTACCTGCTGCAGGATGACTCACGGTGTCACCAGAGGACTCGCCTTCCTGCACACTGAACTGTACAGAGGAGGTATCTTCATCATCATCATCATCATCATCATAGTAACAATAATCCACCTGTCACTCAAAATACCCTTAATGATACATAACTTTAATATTTAATATGATTTAAAGGGTGAGTTGTATAAATGTACAGTTGTCATTAACGGGGAACTGCTGGAGCCTCTAGTGGCCGTTAGAGGAACTGCAGGTTTTGGTGCTTCAGTGTTGGATTCATTTGCAGCCACAGAAGTTTCTGCTTGAGCAAAATGCTAGCTAACTAGGCAGCTACATAGCCAGCTAACTGGCTAGCTAATGGTTGATGTACAGTCGATTAGCTGCTAGTTAGCACGAGTTTTGCTAACATTAGCTGTGACTGATCCCGACTGCTGTCCCCTCTGTCTCCACTCAGACCAGTATAAACCAGCGGTGGCCCACAGAGACGTGACCAGCAGGAACGTTTTGGTCCGAGCTGATCTGTCCTGCGTCCTCGCCGACTTCGGTCTGTCCATGAGGCTGACAGGAAGCCGGCCCTGTTGCCCTGGAGACGACGACACCATGGCCATATCTGAGGTGAGGTCATGTGACAGCGGCAGGTGGACGGAGAGATGATGATGAGGAGGAGGAGGCAGATGTGTTTATACATGTGTGTGTTTGCAGGTGGGCACGGTGCGGTACATGGCTCCAGAGGTTCTGGGTGGAGCTCTGAACCTCAGGGACTGTGAGTCGGCGCTGAAGCAGGTGGATGTTTACTCTCTGGGTCTGCTCTACTGGGAGAGCTTCAGGAGGTGCTCACACCTGTTCCCAGGTGAGACAACACAACACGATAATGTACATACAGGATGACATATATAACATGATATCGTGCTAACAGACTGTACAGGTGAGTGATAGCGACAGGTGCTAGCAGGTTATGTAATGTAGCTGATGTGTGTGTTTAGATGAAGCAGTGCCGGAGTTCCAGTTGGCGTTCCAGGCGGAGTTGGGGAATCACCCGAGCTTCGAGGACATGCAGATACTCGTCGCCAGAGAGAAATTCAGACCCAGATTCCCTGAAGCCTGGAAAGAGAACAGTCTGGTTGGTGTCTCTGTTCACACCTGTTCACACCTGTTCACACCTGAGTTGCAGCCGTTAAAAACACAGAACTTCTTAGCAGCTTCCTGTCGATGTTTTTAGGTGTTGCGTTCGCTGAAGGAGACGATGGAGGACTGCTGGGACCAGGACGCTGAAGCTCGACTAACCGCTCAGTGTGCAGAGGAGAGACTGTCTGAACTCACACTGCTGAGTTCACACACTGCGGTACACAACCACAGGTACACACTGCAGTACACAACCACAGGTACACACACTGTGGTACACAACGACAGGTACACACACTGCGGTAGCACACAACCACCAGGTACCCCCACAGCTACTGCGAGTACACCAACCACAGGTACCACACCCACTGCGGATACACAACCACAGGTACACACTGCAAGTACACACCACAGGTAACCACACCCACCAAGGTACACAAACAAACAGGTACCACCAACCAACAGTACACCAACAAACCAGGTACAACACACCAGACGATACCACAAATTACAGAGTAATAAGTTACCTGTTTCCTGATCTTTCTCTCTGTCTGTCTCTCAGGAACCTGTCTCACGGTTGCTGGCCTCCTCAGGCTGCCTCCACCTCCTCCTACATTGAGGATCTGCAGGTGGGCGTGGTCAAAAACCTCCAGGGAGATGGCCACCCAGTATTGGTCGTCAAGACGACCACGAGCGGAGCTGAAGGTGCAGAAAAGAATAGAAACTCCATCAACTATGAACGGCAGCAGGCACAGGTACCCACGTCAACCAGAGACACTGAAGTCCAACAGTTCCTGTTTGATACTGATTATTCTCTCTCTCTTTCTCTCTCTCTCTCTCTCTCTCTCTGTATGTCAGAGTCAGGCTCGATCGTCCAGTTCAGACAGCAGCGTGTCGACCGCCCGGACATCGGCCACCGTCCTCTGCAGCATCTCTGAGTCTGAACACAGTCAGTCACACACGCTCTCTTTATGTACCATGTACTGTTACACCATTACAACGCGATCACTGTACAAACACACAACTTTATCAGTGATTTTATGGGGAGAATATTGTCTGGTTTTCCCTCTGACGTCCGGCTGCTAACTGGAACCTATTTTTAACCAAATACTAAACTAATGCAGATGAAACCCTTGAACCTACACTGATTCACTTTAACCCATTCAGAAACACCACTACAGAGGGATTAGATTTGGCAAGGATATTTAGCATTTTGACATTTATGTGAAATGTTGTGGGCGTGTCCTCAGTGACTGTCCCTGCTGTCCACCAGGTGGCGCTGTGCCCAGGGTCCCGGTTCGCCTGCAGCTGACAGAAGAAGACCTGGAGGCCACCAAACTCGACCCCAAAGAGGTCTTTACTTTTAATTTGTTCTCCTTTTTGCTGTTGTCCTCTCATCAGAAAACTTCACATCAGTCTGTTTCTTTCTCCGCAGGTCGATAAGAACTTGAGGGAAAGTTCTGATGAAATCTTGATGGAACATTCACAGAAACAGTTTGGTACCACAGAGCAACAAACTACCAACCTGCTGTACCATCAGATACTTCACACTGCTGAGGTACTGTTACTGCACACTAATGAAGTATTACTGAGTACCTCACTGAATAGCTTGTGTGGCTGCTAACCGGAGATCTGTTTCTCGGTTCCTCTAGGCCAGTAATTCGGCGTGGACTCCTCAGGGTGAACTGGGGGCTGTTGGTGGGGTCGATATCCCTCCTTCCTCCTCCATCCACCCTCTCCCCAAACAGCAGAACTTGCCCCAGAGGCCAACCAGCCTCCACCTTCTCCCCAAAACCAAGGAGACCACCTCAGCCTCTTCTCGACTTAAGCTGGGAAAGCTCAAGTCAAACCACAGACAGGTACAGATGATCGAGTTAGATACTCAACTCAAAATCTAATTATCACTTTCTATAGACCTATTATCCAGAGGGGCATGGGTAGATTGTGGTAGCAAAGTCCTGTCTATGTTCTGGAGGTTATTTTGTGTAACTTGCAGCATCTATATAGCGATCACTGCAGGAAAGTGGATCTTTGGATCTTGTTTGTTTCTTTCCAGCTTGACTCAACTCATTTTGGTTTCTGCTTGTAGGAGCTAGGGAGGCTTAATCAGTCATTAGCTAGATAGTACGTTTGCTAGTTAACTAGTTTGCTAGCATTTTACCACAGAGGAAACCCATGGCTGTATAAAGGGAACTGGATACAGTGTTGGAGGCAGTGCTCCGTTCATTCCTATGAAAGCTGCTCAATGGCACATTAAGCCAAAAAAAACACTTCGCCACAAAGAAATTATCCAGATAACCGGAAGTCTTGGCACCAGAGACTTCTGCCGGCCAAGCCGCTAACTTCTGGTTTAGCCCTCCGTTAATTTAAATGAGGATTAATAATTTATTAATGCAGCTCTTCTAGACTTTCCAGATGTTATCGGACTGAATGGATCAAATTCTGATATTGAAACAAGTCATTTTGTGGGGGGCTGTGACCTTTTTACAGCCGCTTCTTTCACAATATAAGTCTTTCTGGGCCAGTGTGCATCACGTGACGGCAGCTGATTGTTTAAAAAATGTTGTTTTAAGTGCGTCACTAATCCAGAAAGTATTGTATTTCAGGTGGAAACAGGTGTTGCTAAAATGAACACGGTAACAGTCGCCACGGCTGTAGAGCCCCACCTGGTAACCACGGTGACTAACAACCCCAGCATGAGAGGTGGTGTCGCAACTGGGAACCGAGTCCAGCCGTTAATGGTGGTCGCCAATGGCTACAGCGCAGGTGTCCCCACCCTGGTGACAAATGGTATTGTGGGCGGAGGTCGAACCAATCCAGCAGGGCCGCAGCTGGAAGAGGAGGACAAGATGGCGGGAGGGATAATGGGAGGAGAGGAAAATTGTATGAACCTGCTCAACCCCAGCCCGGATGAACATGAACCACTGCTGAGCAGAGAACAACCGCCTGCTGAGAGCACACCCCTTCCTCATCTGCATCATCATCATCAGCCACGACCTGGAAACATCCTGTCGGGACGAGGCTCAAACTCCAACAACAACAACAACAGGATAGCGTTGGGATCTGATGTCAAGATCCAGAATGGTTCAGAGGTCAGTCGGGGAGGAGGCACTAAACCTGAGCCACCCCTGGCAAGTCAGCAGATCGGTGGATCCCCTTCTACTGGTCCAGTTTCAAATCTGGAAAATAAAATTCTGCTTTCTGGTCCAGCAGGAAGTACTACAACCAGCCAACCAGTATTGACCCCTCAATCCACCAGAAGCCCAAAGGCTCATCTGGTTCATTCTACTGCCACTGCAAACCCATCTTCACAAGCACAAGAACCCGCCACTAAAACCTCAACCTTGTCTTCAAAAGATGGCCTTACCGTTGCTCCAGAAATTCAAGATTCAGATACAGAAGCTCCAGAGCCAGAAGCTCCATTCATGAATCAAGAAGCTTCATCTTTAAACGTTCCATCCTCAGAAACAACAGCTCTTGCAGAAGCTTCAGCTATAAAAAGTCCAACCTTAGATCCACAAACTCTGGGTCTGTTGCGGCCCCAGATGGGACAGGCCAAAGCCAAGAGGCCTGAGCGTCCTTGTTCCCTGGACCTGTCTTCATCCTGCATCTCCTCAGGTTAGTCAAGATTAAATGTTTAAGAATTTATTATTTGAATTTGCATTACTTTTGTTTTTTAGCACAGAGCTGTTCCTTCAGTATATCAGAGGTCAAAATGCATGGTTCATATTTTTAATGTTGAACTTCGAGCCAAAGACTTCAGTCAAGGTCAAAGATGTTGTTCCTGGGAAAGACATGATCCTCTCTGCTGCCCTCACTGTTCCCTGCAGGATCTGTAAAACTATAGTTACTATACACGACAGTTACAGCTGGTGAAGACCCCTTTAGCAGTGCTCCAGTGTAAGGTGGTAAGGATGGAGGAGAGGAGGGTAGGTCATTTCTCAGGAAGTTTTCCCTTGAACCTGGTCTAGAGGAAGGGTCAGGGGGTCAAAATCATCAGTAATTATCCTCCCAGGACCATAAATATCTTATCCATTTTCTTGTCAAACTTGTGGCAGTGCCTAGATATCTTGCTCTGGACCAAATTGTATGGACAAACCAAAACATTTGTACTATTCTTTTGGGAATTATGCAACAAGGCCTTACTTATAGGGTCAATCGTTCTATAGAAACATAGCAGATTGTTGGAGTCTCATTCCCAGGTGGTCAAACACCAACACTGTGGGTTATAGTAAATGAGAAACAAACAAAGCTCAGAGCGTGAAACACTACTCAACAGGTGGCCTCATGCTACCAGGTCGCCAGATACTGATGACTTTCGGTTGCCAAAGTGTTGCTCTTTGATGACCTGGGAAGGAGACTCAGCTTTCAGAAGAAGTGGAGTTCACTTGGTCCAACAACCAACCAGGAAGCTCTCTCTTACTAGCTATCAGGTTAGTGGTTACCTTGCCAGCCACAGTCGTGCACCAACTATCACCACAAGTAGTCACCAAGATTCTGGTACCACCTGTTTTAGAAGAATGGCCTAGAAGGTCTACGGAAACAGTAAATGTACCTAAAAGTATGAACACATACCTAATACTAATAATGTTTCTTCCTCTCGTCCTCAGATGATGTTTCTGTGACAGAAAACGGCAGTTTGAGCGCTTCAGGAGAGAAAATAAAACGTCGTGTCAAGACTCCGTACACCCTGAAAAAATGGCGTCCAGCTTCATGGGTTGTTTCCACGGACACTGCCCTGGACCCGGACTTCGAGTTCAACTATTGTGGTAGCAGCAGCAGCCAGAACCATTTTTCTTCTGGTCCTCACAGAGCTGGAAGCATTGGCATGCCCAAAATCAATCAATCAAAATCCAGCATGGCTGTGTTTTGGGTCGGAGGTGGAGCCACGGCGACCACGACCTCCGAGCCGGATGGAATGACCTGCTTCTAGTTTGTTTCTTAAAGAAGAGCGGATTAAATTTTCACTTCTTTGTCTTCCTTCTCTTCTGTTGTGAAAATGGATTACTGTCTGCCGCACCATTCAGCACTAAACTGGACTTAACGCTAAAGGAAGTGACCCACAATGCAATGCTCCCAAGCTTAAAACTACAGGTAACTGTAGAAAGAAATTTCAAAAACATTGTGTTGGGGTTTGGATTTCTTGTTGCATCTACATTTTTTGATTCAGCTGGACACTTTTTGAAGGATTGTGCTGATTGGCCCAATTTGACCATCAACTTTGATCCTGCCTGTGTAGCGCAAATGCCCAAAAAATGTTTGCATGGGTGGTGAAGTGAGGGGACTCCTAACTTCTAGATGATTGGCTCCTGTTGTGATTAGCCTTGTGGTTGGTGGGTGTGGTTAGTCAGTGTATTCAGTTGCTACTGGGCGTAAAAATCTCTAGTGCTTTTCCAAGAACAGATTGGATCTGGTTTGCGCACCTAGTTTTGAAATGTTCTCAGCATTTCGGCCAAAATTAAAATGGTTCGGAACCTGAAAGGTCGGTTCCCAGGTGGAACCAAAAAATATCAGATTTTCCTTGGGAACTAAAGTGGGTGTGTCATATACTACAGGTCGCTTACAGTGGGACCACTGAAAACTGGTGGGAACATAGGTTGATTCGGTAGCACCAAGATTCCAAGAGTCTTGAATGGAAGCGGTTTAAGAACAAATGCTAATTTGGTGGAGAAACACTTGTGATTTAGTGATTTAGTTTGTTCCTAGTTGACTTTCTCCTGTGGCTGGTGAAGTGAGGGGAGTCCTTTACTTCTTGACGGCTCCTGTTAGGGTTAGGGGTTAGTTAGCGACTAGTCTTGTGGCTTATGGACATGGCCAGTTGCTTGTGAATATGGCCTTCATCCTACTTAATACCTACCTGAAATTAACCAAGACTTTAAAATCTTTTTAAAGGCATACTACGTGGGATTTCCCTAAAAAACAAAGTATAGACTCATACAAACATCAGTCATCACTACCACACACTAGAAATACTCACCAGTACTGAGTACCGACACTTCCGAGTTCGATCTACATGAATACCACCGGCATTGCACCCACCCTACTCTGCCTCTGATTGGCACGTTTGTTGGTTTGGTTGGTCAGGTTTAGGCAAGACGAGTGAGACGGTTAGACTTAGAAAAACCTGTTGGGATCAGAGACAATCAGAGGCAGGGCAAACCACTAACTCTAACTTCGCTCTATATAAACACATAGCTAGCTTAACGCTAAGAAAACTGCGTGGAAAATGGAGAAGGGGCCAACTTTTAATGGTGAATTTACGAACAGCAGTGGACAAATCCTGCGTGGTATGCTTTTAAATTAATAGTGACGTTAAGGAAGATCCTTTCTGGATATTTGCTGTAGATATAGAAACGTCGATATCAAGTTTTGGATTTGATGTCCGTCTGCACAGTCGCCATATTGGAGTGGTCAAGACCCGCTAGGTAACAATACTGAAAAATTCAGACTGAACTATATAATCGACTGTAACTAGCTTCATTCTGAACAGATTTTCATGAAATATTTTTAAAAAGTGAAAAAAAAATTGGTTACTGGTTGGAATTAATTCAGTTACTGGGGCCGGAGCTAATCAGCTCTATGCCAAGAGTCAAGAGTATTTGAAAAAAAAGGTATTTGGACGTGCAAACAGGGGAAACATTTAAAAGAGTCACTGCTAGTCAGAGCAGCACTTTGGCCAAAATCCAGAATGAAAAGTGTGTGTGTGTGAGCTGGAGCATATAAACAAGTATCAACACATGCTACAAAGTACTGTCTAACAGGAAACTGGCAAGAAGTGTTGTAAAAACAACTGATTTTTATGTTTTCCTGTTGACAAATTTTACATAAACAAAGCGGATTTATAACAATGTTATAGATAATTACAAATTTTTAGAGGAACCAACAAAAGCTAATATTGTAAATAATTGACATTGATGTTTCCTGTTCATAGATCGGAGCCTGCATGTCCTAGGGGAAGTTTTTCAGAAGTAAACTTTTTGCCAGTGATGATAACGAACCAAATTTCATGAAAATCTGTTCAGAATTAAGTTACAGTTGATTTATAATGTAGTCTGAATCTCTCAGTGTTATTAACTAATGGATCTTGACCTCACCAATATGGCAACCGTGCAGACGTATAGCGGCAGGCCAATGAGGTGTCTACGTATCTTTATCTATGGACATTCTGGCTCCTGCTACGATTCAGCTTGCGGCTCGTCCAGTGGCTAGTCAGTGTGACCAGAAAGGATTGAGTTATTAGTTTTTTAATGCACTTTAAGCAAAGTTAGTGTTATTTAGTGAATTAACAAACCATATAAAAGAGACCTTGTGCAATTTCAACAGTAACTGACAATTACCTAGTAAATATTGAGTAAATTCTTTGTGGTTTGTGTCTTTTTACAGTGTTTTGTCTGATTTAAAGAGCATTTTTTTGCTTTACTCTAGCTATGCAGTCAGCTCATGATGCCTCCTCCTGTTGACTATCAACAGATTACTGCTGGAGGATGTTTATTCTTCTAATTTGCACTTTCTTTTATGAAGTAGTCTCAACTGCCTTGTGAGGTCTGCTGTGACCGCCATGTTAGGGCTGGACGGGCAAAGGAGGTCCAAAAAGAAACAAGAACATTTTGGAGAAATTGCAGAGATAAGCCACGTTCCTGACGAGTTCGTCAAACTGTCAGCCTTGTGACCTGCGTGAGCTTGGCCACGTACAACCTCCTCAGGAACCTTTATGGCACTGATGAAGAGCGCAGTGCGATGACCCTCCGAGGAGGTCTCTCTCTCAGAAAAGCCTGGTGGGTGGGTGGCTTCACTACTCTTTTAGTTATGTAAAATGAACTTATTTTTAGCTACAACTCACGTGTTCTCCCCGTCTTTGTCCAGCCTTAAGACGGGTTGTGATAAATTGGGGGCTCGTCCGGGTCCACTCACACTTTTCTTCTTACAAGAGGAAGATGATGAAAGGCGAGAGGAAGATGAAGGATCCAACGGGACAAAATAGGCCTTCAAACAACTCCAAAGCTGTCTTATTTACATGTATTGTGTTAGTCACCAACCCATTGTACAGTGAGTGAGGAGTTCATCACATGGTACAATCTAAAGGTCTCAGTATGCGATAGAAAAGCTTCTACAATGTCTGAAAATGTCTTAGAAAGTAACTGAATTAAAGACGTTTGGACTTTAAACCTGCAGACATCTACTCGCACAGTTGGTCCATTAAATTAATCTTATATAAAAGATCCACAGCACTTTATTTAAACCACAGTATAAACTGCTCCTTGTGTTATAGACCCTAAATATGAGTTCTGTTTATTTTATGTTAAAAGTGGATGCTTACATTTTATATTTTTATGTTATTATGTACTAAGTATTTTCAGTTGGCACACACATTTTTTTGGAATAGTTTAGTGTGACATTTATAAACAATAGAAGATACACAAGAGGCTTCTTTTTTATTTTTATTCTTGTTTTTTATAACAAAGCGACTGTCAGTTTAAAGCTACATTCATTTTTGTTTTTAATGGCTGATTCTGTATGTGTGACAACAGCTCCTTTATCTGTGCAACTACAATAAGTTATTAATATGTATATGCACTTTAGTTGTTGTTATTTTGTTGTTTATTGTCCTAAATTTCAGATTAGCTTTCTCGTAAATTAAATTAAAAATAATGTGGATCCCTTCCTGATCCAAATCAACATATAATATGATTTTCCTTTTATTGATATTAAGATGCTTTCTGAAATGTATTTCTGTTTTGTTATTTTTGTATTTTCTACTGTTTCTACTGTTTTTAGAGATGCTAATGTGTATATATGGATGTGTCCTGAGGATTTTGGTTTTACATTCAGTTTGTGAAGGCAGATGTGTGAACTAGCCCAGAGCTAACTGTACAACCCGAATACTCTAGTAGCAGGATGCTAACTGTTTTTTGGAACTAAGGATAACACATATATAGTTTTATTCAACAGATAATAATTTCCCACACAAAGAACTTAGCCCTGGTTATTTGCAAGCCCTGGTTGTTAACTAGCTCAAACCCTGATATCAGAACCTTTTTGTTATTTTCCTCCAGTTTCTCGGAGTCACAGCTTTGGAAATGTGTAGTTTTAAGCTGAAACATTTTCAACTCATAACTTGAGATACAATCACATCTGATCTTAAGTTTGCTTTGAGTCTGAGCACACAGTTAGCGTTCTGCTAACAGCCTCAGAGTGAAAAGGGTCAAAATCAGTTCATGGTGATCTTTTATATCGGTGATAATGAACTGAAAATGTGCCAGAAAGTGAAGCACACTGGTGGGTTATCCCTTTAAAGTCATTTACTGCAGCTTATAGTTATCATACTGCTCATGTGTTAACGTCCTGCATGAAATATCTCCACTGAAACATTATTTCTGTTGTCTCTTTAGCTGTCAGACGCTCATAAACTGTAGTTAGTTTTTTACTCTGCCTGATCATATCCGAGTTACTGTATAGTATTTCCGACAGTACAGATGCAGTACAGATGCAGGATGAGGAGTTTCTGCTACGACTAACAGTGTATTATTGTAGATTAAAAAAAACAAAATATTTAACTCAAGTTTAACTGCTGTATCGCTCTGGTTCCTGATTATTCTGGGATATTTGAATTTCCCCGTCTGTTGTTGAATATATTGTGTACCTCTTTGTGTATTTATGTATGATAGTTTCCACTTTCCAGTAGTGTAAATACTACATTATTACACATTGTATACTTTCATATGGGACCAATTACCACTGCTGTATACTGTTAGTGTCGTATTCTGCCAAGATAACAATTCTCACTGTTCACACTCACACCGAGCATGTTGTACAATCCTACAGATTATAAATCAGTTCTGGTGGTTCGTACAGTTTCATCCCAACATGTTGTTAACCTATGTAATAAAAATATCACAAGTTTAAGTTCATCATTGAATAAAGTGCAGAGGATTCAGTGTGTCAAAGTGTTTTATTTATGACAATAAATGAAGTTTTCTGCTGTATCGTCTGTAATTGTTCATTTACTGCACATCAGACAGTAGTAGTAGTTTTATATAGTAATAAAATAAAAGTGTGGGACTGGTAGAAGACTGAGGCAGTAAAATGCGATAAAGTACTAACACATGCTTTAATTAATACTTTGAATTTCAGTTGTAGTTTTTTTAATGCAACCACACAGTGGATCTGTATTATTTATAATTTATTACACATTGTTATCTAGAAAGTGTGTTTTTTTTTACCTCTAGTTTAACTAACCCTGGTTATTAACTAGCCCTGGTTTAACTAGCTCTATTTTAACTAGCCCTGGATCCTTCCCTATAGGACTTTTTTCCCAATTATTATCTATGAGGTAAATAAATGAGACAAAATTAAAGTGTCAGATTATTAAATGGAGTTTGGTGTGACGTCTCATTATTGGAGTACTCAGCCGTTCCTATCCTCTTTTACAGTTTCACAACAAAGCGTGTTTACTTTTAAATGTCTTTAAAGGTTTTCTATAGTCATGTGTTATTGTGTATTTTATGATGATCTATTTTTCTTCTCAGTAAACCTCTGACCTGAATAACACTGAACACCAGTTGTATGATGCATTTAACCATGATGCTTTGCTGCTTATGAAACATTAGATAATATTCAACTGATCCTCCTTTTTCTCCCTTCCTGAGCTCAAGGTTGAGATGATGGTTAACATGAAAGATCACAAAAAGTGTCACAAGAAGTTTCTTTAAGTGGAACTGAAGATTGGATTATTCCACTTCATAAACATTTTATCTGCCTTGAGAAGGAAAACTGCCAAACATCACTGGATACGACCCCTGCTATCAATAACACATTTTAATCTCCAATATATGGCTTTATTATTTAAAATGTATTGATGTATATATTATTATTATTCCATTACATGTATCCATTTAATTATGAATTATCTATTATGTATCGATCACATTGTTTGTTTTTAATCAATTTCCTTCTTCAGTGTTATTATAGTAACTGTGCTTTGGAAACTCATGTTAAATGTCATACCAATAAAGCCTATTTAATTTAAATATTGTTGGCCGAATTGAAGAGTGGATGCGTTTCATGCGATAAATTTATTACATTATCATCTACAACATCTGTACATTTTGATAAAGGCAGTAAAATATTAAAACTGATGGATTTATAAACGGACTTTGGTGTGAGGCGAACACAACGATACCGTGTCCGTATTTAAAGCGACAACAGCGCCACTCAGCGGTACAAACTGTGTAATACAACTATCCCCGAATTACGGTGTCCTCAGAGGGTAAAAACAGTCGCCATTAAGCCCCTGTAGTAAAAACGCGAATGTGTTTGTTGAGAGCGGAAGCGGAGGGCGGCGGCAGACTGAAGACGAGGTCGAGTAGACTCGTTTTCATTTTCCTCGCTGATATAAAAGTTTCAGTTGATCACACAGAAGCTAACGCTAAGCTAACGGCGGCTAGCACAGCGCTAAGCTAACGGCGGCTAGCACAGCGCTAAGCTAACGGCACAGTGAACAGACGGCGATAGTTAGCTCACCGTTAGCTCAGCGTTAGCTTAGCGTTAGCTCACCGTTAGCTCACCGTTAGCTTAGCGTTAGTTTACTGTTAGCTCACCGTTAGCT